TCCGTGACAAGCTATACACACACACACACACACACACACACATACACGCACGCACGAGCTCAGCACAACATTCATATGTAAATATTATTTGCTCTTTGTATGCTGCTGTGACCTTTGCTAAACTAAGGGCAGCTTTGTGTACCGATTGTAGAACCCCCCCCCCCCCCCCTCCCACCCGTCCCTTCTCTTCCCTCCCGGCACCCTCTGGCTTCCTGCGTGCCATAAAATTTCACTCTTTCTTCCATTAATAGTTGATCTACTAAGCCAAGGGCATAAACTATGCAAAAGCTTTTCCATCATTGCCATTTGCCATTCAGTGCAAGCGCAGCCCCCCCCCCCTCTCGCTCTCTCTCTCTCTCGATATTGCTGTCTCTGTCTCACTTAATTGCTCAAATCTCCATACACAATTTAATATTCATACTTGCGTTTCATTCGTGCTGCTAATGTTGAGTTTGTCGGATTCATGGCTGGTTTCATGGCAGCAACAACAAATCAAGTTGCGGATTACAAATCGGAATCCTTTTTTAATTGAAATATATATATGGTATACATATGTGCGAGTGTACACATTTGTATGACCCGTGCTGTGGCGCCGTGCTCATTAATGCGCGCGGCTGCTGCCGCCTGGTGAATTGATGCGTTTTTGATTGCGAATTTGTCGCAAACATATCGCTCGAGTGCACCGAGAGACCACTCTACCTCGCCCCCCCCCTCTCTCTCCCCCTCCATCTCTCTGGTTGACTCTTTCCACTTTTATATGCGCATTACTCATACGCCGTGCGGGTCGCTGAAGGCAAAAAGCAACTTAAATTCTACTTACAGCCAAATATGTAATAAATACGAGCTTAAAAAAGTTTATCTATATTTCAACCGCACGCAGTCATGTGCTCACACACACACACACACACGCACACACACACACATAGACTAGCTCTTGCTATATATGGCAGATATTTGGCATATAGAGTAGCTACTGCTGCCTGTTTTTTTGCTGTCGCCCCGAAAAGTTTTTGAAAGATGTGCCATCCCCCAATCCGGCACTTAGACAACTCGCACGTCCAGCAACCAAAAAGTTCATTTTGCTGCTTTCTCTCCTCTTCTTCTTTTTTTTCATTTATCTTCCTCTTTTTTCTCGTTTAGCCAAAAAAAAAAGTATAAGTAAGTGTAGTGTAGTGTGTGGAGTGCAAGTGTACTTACCCAGCGCCAGTGCCACGCCCCTGCCGCCCGTTGCGCTTTCATTAAATGCGTCTATTCAGCGAGTGCAGCTTTAAAATTTGCGAAACCAAACAAATTTCATTTTATTTTATTTTATTTTTTTGTCAATATGCCCAAAAACCAAAGCCGGACGCCGTATAAATTGTCGCAATCAAGCGGCCGCATAAAATGTCAAAAAAAAAAAAAAAGAAAGTGGAAAAAAGAACCACGGGAAAAACGACAGCAAGATGAATTACTGTAAATTATCCAGTTAAAACTTTTCGTTGAAGGACTTTGCAGCAGAAACCCGAAGGCGGGCGACGCGTCGCTGCTGACGATTTAACGAGACGAAAAGGCAAAAGTTGTACAAAAATCAATTTCGCCACAATTTCACGCTATTTTGCCTGAACATGAATAGGGTATAGCTAGGCATAGATAGAGCCAGAGATTGCTTTGCATAGAAATGTATTCAAATGCACTCAACATCAATTTGAAGGCAAGGCAAATATTCAAGGGCAGATCGACAAAATTTTAAAAATATTTGCTATGCCATTTTGGAAATTAAAATGTATGTAATCAATGCAAATTTTAAATACCTAAGACACATTTGAATCTGCGCCCAAAATAATTGACCCATTTCTTATAGCGGATTTACATATTTATATATTTTTAAAATTTATTTATTTACATTTGATAAATATTTATTATTTAATTTTTACATTTGAATTGGTTGTCAAAATAATTGGCCCATTTCTTTAGCGGATTTATATCTATATATTTTTCAAAATTTATTTATATTTTAAAAATATTTATTTTATAATTTTTACATTTGAATGCTTTAAGAAAATTATGAATTTTCATTTCAGTCGAAACCGACTCGCTTTTCATAATGCATATATATTTTATTTTACATCTTTTATATTATTTCTATACCCTGAGTTATTGAAAATTGGTAAAAAGGGTATATCGTATTTATGCAAATTTATGCAACAGTCATAACTCCATAAGGTATATATAATCTTGATCAGCATCAATAGCCGAGCCGATCTAGCCGTGCCCGTCTGTCTGTCCGTCTGTATGAGTTTGTTCCCGATAAATAACTATTTTTTTTACATTTATTTTATTTATTTATTTGAATCTTAGTGAAGCTTATCTATAATAATATATGCAATTATATATTGCTGTACTTCTATTGGGAACCACTTTAATGTTTAATTAATTGTGATTGATTTAAGGCAGAAAATGCTTTTCGAAACACCTGTCAAATCTAGATATATATGCGATTATTTACTTCCTCTTAGCACTTCCGCAGCTGCTGCTGCTGCTGCTGCTCGCTTGTCAATGGCTGCTTTTTGGGTTTTGGGCGCAGCTCATGTAGGAGGCGAAAATAAAAATCAGCCGCTGCGGGTTTTACGTTTTTCCTGCTTACCCTGAGCAACATTCATTAATGTCAGGAACAGCAGCAGCAGCAGCAGCAGCAGCGGCGGCGGCGGCGGCGGCTCCTTCGTCTAGGACACGGCCACATAATGTGCCGCAAAACGCATAAAATACACGCACACACACACGCAGACACACAGACAAGTGTCTGTCCTTGTCGCCGTCTACCCGCTGTTTTATATAGCGATTACGATAATGAAGCGGCAGCATTTTCAGCGGGCGCAGCATTTTTGTGCACAGAAATGAGCCAAATGAATGGCTGCCACTAGCCGTCACGGGCAGCGGCTGTGGTGAGCGGGGGCGGGGGCGGGGCGGGGTGAAATCTAGCAGCGACGTCTGTCGTTGATGGCTTTTTGAAGTTCTCAGCGCAGGCGGCGCTCTGATTGGGCCGAGGTGGGGAGGTGGGTTTTATGACGAATTAATGAAATCAGATTTAAATAAAATTACGCAGCGCCTGCTTGTTAGTGTCCGCTGCCTGGCTGCCTGGCTGCCTGTCTGCCACGCCCACTTGTGGGGCATGCACATTTAACGTTTTGCTAATAGAATTAAAGTTTGCGGACGGACGCACCACCCCACCCCCCCCCCCAAATCACATAATGAGCGCCGCCTTCCAGGCTGAGCGTAATTATGACAGGGCGTGGCAGCAGCATTGATAGCGCCCTTCGCAACTGTTGCCCGCTTAATTAACAACAACAATTGCAATTGCAATTGCAATTGCAGTTCCGCCTTGCAGCTCTCCTACCCCACCCCACCCCAACCCTGCGGCCACGTTGCAGCAGGTAATTTTTGTCTCATTTGGCGCGTGCAACCTTCAGCTGATGGTTTTGTACGCGCATTGTTTGTGGCATTGTTGTTGATTGTTAATTGAAAAACAATGTTGTGCCCTCTTGTGTCGACGGCTGCACTTAAAGAGCTGTGAAACGCAACAGCAGCAGCAGCAGCAGCAGCAACAACAACGACGACATGCGTGGCAAGTGGCAAGTGGCAAGAGGCAAGTCGCGGCCAGGCATTCAGTTCGAGTTCGAGGCTCAACTGCGGCTTAATTAATTTTTATAAGGCTGTTGTTATCGCCGTCGTCGTCGTCGTCGTCGTCGTCGCAGCGGCTGCACTTTAATTACAATGCACAGAAGTTGCCTTTAGCCCATTGATTAAACTTAATCAATGGCCATAAGCGGAACAAGATCGCGGCCAACAACGTGCGGCATGCGGCATGCGGCAGGCAGCTCATTAATGTACGCTCCCAACTTTGACAGCCAACGTGCAATTAGCGTCAGGAGCAAAGCGAAAAGTTGTCATATTATGATATTGAATAGCAGCCGCCAGCTGAAGGACGTGGCCAACCAATAAAGCTATAGTCTGTGTATGATAACAACCTTAACAGAATGTCAAAAGGACTCCAGCGGCAAAGGGTAAAAGTGTTTGAGCTGTAATAAAATAGCCCCAAGATTTAATTAATAATTAATATACAGGTAGATTCTGTGCAGGTGGTGGCTGTTAAATGCAGTAGCTCGCGCTCAGGCATGGAAAATTCAGAGCAGCCGAGTGGGAAATTCAGGCGAAGCTTGCATTCAGCTGCCTTTTCGTAGTATCGCATTATAAGGAATATTTTTAATATTATTATTATTTTAATTGTTATTATGATTGTGCGTGCATATTGTGCAGTAAAAGTTAATTTTCCTTTTTCTCCAAATTATGCGCTTCTTCTTCGAAATTAGTCTGAAATTCGAACTCGATTAGTTAAATAACTCAGCTAGCGAGCATGTCAACTTAGTTATATTAGCTTCTACTACTTTAGTTAGTTGCAAAGACAAAACACAGCTTTCGCTAATATAAGCAATAGACGGAGACATAGACTAAACCCGAGCGATTATAAAACTATTAACGTCACAACTAAGCTCAACTCTATTTAGCAATAAAAATCTATCAATTAGCATATGATAATAAAGTATACGAAAATATGGTATAGGGAAAGTTGAAGAGAGACTAACTCTCGGTTAGTTCATCATTGGAAGCAGTTGGCGGGCAACTGCCAAAGTCTGTTCGGTTAGTTAGTTGCATAGTTTGGCCGGTTTGTCAGTCAACTATCATTATAAGTTGCCCTTTTGCCTCATAATGGCCAAAACTTTTCAACTGCCAGTGTGTATGTGTGTATGCCAGTGTGTGTGTATGTGTGTGTGTGTGCTTTGGCCATTGTTGGCGCTCACTTTTGCAATTAGCAGCAGTTTTGTCTGCTCAGTGCTTTTATGCGGCCATTAATTGAGTTGCGCGCACTGAAAACTTCAAAAAAAAAAAAACAGAAAATGAAAGCGCGGAACATTTTTCAACTTGTCTAACAAAGCTAATTTTTGTTGTTCGTCTTCTATTTACAGATCGAGGACGCAATGCTGATGTTCGACAAGCAGACCAATCGGCACAGAGGTGAGCTAACAGATAATAACAATGAACAATAAACGATAAGCATTAATCGATTATAATAACAATAACAATAATGCCAACAATAATACTCGTTATAATAATACTGACTGACTGGTTCCGACTCACACACACACACACACACGCACACATGCCGATGCTCTTACAGCTCCGTTTCCGGGCCTTAACGATGCAGCAGAACGAGCCGAGCCGAGCAGAGCCGGAAGTGCGAGCGTTTTTGCGCACTGCTCTGTCAAAATGCATGACAGATACCGTTACAGATAGCCGGGCACAAACAGCTAATACAGTTTTAAAACGTGCGCGGTGCGGTGGCGTCGGGAGGGGGGCATTAAAATGGCCAGGCAACAGGATGTTGGAGCGAGATAGATAGCCAGGGAAAGCGACCCGAAAAGATTACCTGGCAATGCAACCGGATATAGCCGGGCGCACACACACTCACACGCACACACAGACAGAGACTCAGTGGGTGGGGCGGGCTGTTGTCCGATGAAGGGCTTAAATCTCCAGCGCACATCCGCTACACGAACTTGCAGCGCACGAGTGCGCCCATTGCCCCGCTTTTTTGGGCCATATGCTCGCTTGGGGTCAGGCCAGCTACAGGCACAGGCACAGGCCAGGCCAGGCACAGGCTCTTCTCTCGTCTGCTTGTCGTTGTCAATTTTGCTTATTAAAGTTTTAAATGACGCGCCGAAATTCGCATTGCGCACGAGTCCAATGCCCATTGACATGTGACAGGAGACGCGCAGCTGGAGCAGCAGTTCCACCTGAGACACGGCACATTAAGATTGATGTGTCCATTTTGCAGCTAAAGCCGCACCAGAGGCCAACTCGGCCGCCCACACACACACACACACACACAGACAACCAGCTAACAATGTCGTTGTCCAAAAGTAATTAGCTGCTTCACTCACACACACACACACACACACAGTTGGACAGTCGAGCATGCATCAATAGTTGCCTGCACACACACACACACACACACACACAGAGACACAGACAGACAGTTGCTGGCCTTGTTAACGTGCTGGCCGGTGCACACTGTCCAACCAAATTACGCACACGGGAATAAGGAAACATGATTTTTGCTTGTATGCGGCCCATAAAAAATTGTTGCATACTTCGGGGCGCCGCCGTCGCTGAGAGAGATAAGCAGCGCGCGCGACCCACAGAACATTTCGTTTAATTGGACGCTGGAGTACCGAATGCTGCATCATGATGCAGTCATATGAAAAACACAAAAACTCAACCAGAAACAGCAGCAGTAGCAGTTACAGCAGTAGCAGTTACAGCAGTAACAGTAGCAGTAGCAGTAGCTGGAGCAGCCTTTGCATGTGGCAATAAAAGCAAGCAGCGCCCCATTTAAAAATTATGTGTTGCGCTGCAGTTGAAAGACGGGAGACTGAGCGGAAGACTAACAGAGACAGAGAAAGGGAGCAAGGAAGAGGGGGAGAGAGAGAGAGACAACTGTTGAGAGATTAATACATGAGAGAAATATATATAGAAACTGCAAATAGCCAGCATGCAGATTTATTCGGGTAAATAAAACAGAAGAAACAACACAAGAACAATGCGCGCAATGATTTTTATTAATTTTTTAGACTGATTGCCAAGCTCAATTCCCATTTCAAATGAAAACGAAATAAGTAGCCAATTAAATTGAAGGCTTTTCTCTTTTTGCCAAGCTCCTAGCAAATGCCTCTGGCAGACTTTAATAAGACTTTGGTAAAACGCAAACGACTTTCATGAGGCAAAACTTTCGGTTATGGAATCGACTTTAGATTGGCTCTGCATTTAAATCTGAACAAAACATATTCTTTTTTCATGTTACAGTGAAAACTCGCCTAAGGGACACTCCTAATAGACGGACTTTTTCTAACAGAGGCGCACACCAATCTTTGGCCCACCTTTTATAATCGAACTATCATAAATCAGATCACACCCATTCCCCCTCAATAAGGCACACACTCCCCTTAAGCGGACAAAACTAAACCAAAAATAAAACTAAACTAAAATATTGTAACTATAACAATTATAAGCCCATTCTAGACTTTAAACTCTCATTACCTTGCCAAAACGTAAGCGATATTCATGAATTCATTTCTGTCAAGGATTATCGATTATCGATTGATTCTACAAAAATGTTGTTTAGGCAAATTTTATATACTACCATTATAAGTTCCCATAATCTTGCTAAAACTCAATCTTTCATCGTCTTTAATCATGAGAAATATCAGTTTCAGCCTCTAGGTTCTACCTTTAATTCAAGGAACCACATTTTTGAGAATTCATTTTCTAGACTTCCGAAACTCAATCGCTTTATATGAGGTATACCATTGTGGCCTTGGCTTAGAAAGATTCCACATTAATATCTATGAACTATTTTCTCGTTTGTAGTTCATGTTTAAAATTTGAATTCTGGACTTCAAGCAATCATCAAGTTACACCATTTTGACAATGTTTCGATTGAGTATTTAAAATTCATAGACATTTGCATAATGGTTAAGCAAGCGTGGAAATAAATTGACTTATGACAAGTGAAGTGGAGTAATTTGTAATTGTCAGTGGCTTCTGAGTACGTTTGTTAAAAATAGCATTAAATGTAACCTCGTTTTGTGATTTTCCCATGAATATGACATGGAAGACGTTTAATGTTCGACTCGACTATTGACATGACTCGCAGGACACGGTAATTTTGCAAATTACAATTGCTCGGGTCGATCAAAATGCATATACGATGAAATATGCAAGCGTTGTTAGTTGGCCCAACCGAACCAACCGAGCCAGCGGCAACTGCCCAACTTCACAGGGCCAACTGCCCCAATGAGCCACCAAGGCGAACCACCCACCGAACCACCCACCAATCCAGCGAAACAGCATTAACACGGCGAGGCAACGCTTTCGCTGCGAGTCAATAGAAAATGTGTGTCGTTAATCAAAGGGTATTAGTTGTAGCTGTAGCCTTCATTGCCACGACGACGATGGCGACTTTTTATACAACCTGGACAATGTACGACCTTTTGCCATGAGTTGGACTAACGGACGCTCCAGGGCCCGATGGCTTGTCGCCCGCTGTCCGCTGCCCGCTGCCTACTGGCACTTGCGATATGCCTGTAATTGCATTTTATCGATCCAAGTGAAGAGAAGGTACCTTAGCGTACATGTGGCAATTGCCAGCGTGTGCACACACACACACACTCTCACACACACAGGCAGGAATAAAAAAAAAAAGAAAAAAGGCGAGCAAAGACGTCGCTGGTTGCTCGGGCTACACGGCAGCAAGTTTGTTACTCATTCATAAATCATGTGTGCAGCGACAGACGGACAGAAATACAGGCACACAGACAGACAACACGGCTGAAAGAAACACACACACACATACAGCTAGTGAAAAGGCAGCCTGGTCACTGAAACTTGCAGCGACGCTTTTCCAACTAACGGCTGCAGTTGGCGCCCAAAAAAAAAAACAAGTAAGCGAAGCATTTTATCTATGGGGTTCGTAGGGAGAGTTGGGGCTGGGAAGACTCGGAAAACGAAAACTATATGAATATGCCATAAAACAATATAGGCTGGCATACTAACATCTGCAACAACAACAGCAACAACAGTGACAACAACAACAACAGCCGCAAGTACAGTAGTACCTAGTATACATGCAACTGAGCTCGGTTTGAAGATTTTGTTGCATATGAAAGAACTTTGCACTTAGCATAGTTAACTATAAATTTCAACATGCATAAATGAAAACTAAATCTTCTAAGCTTCTTCATTATAGATAAAATGTAGCTCGGCAGGTTTATCGAAAAGAATTTCGGCTAGCTAAGTGATTGAAAAGGAAAAAGAAAATTTCAGAAACTAATTTCTTAAATACACCTTAACTTATTCATAGAAAGTAGGGCTGAGCTGACCTTGAAGTTGGCTGCGCTCACTCGGCATGCTTATCGATAAAAATTAAAGAGAGAAATGAGAAAAAAATGGGGGAAAATAAACTTTAGTAAGCTTATTATTAAATACTTCTGAGGAACTCAATATGTCGTAAGGCAATTTTTTCGATATAATTGAGCAGATCGAGGGAAGAAAATACGTGAAGAATAAAGCTATAATAAGGAAAACTTATCGATAAAAAGCAAGGTTGTGCGTGATGTTGGATGTGCTTGTTCAGTTAATTATCAAGCATTTCTTATGTAATCGATAAAAAAAAACTGCGCTGAAATTGGCTACGTTTGCTAGACTGAAAATTAAGTGTTCCTAAACTTATCGATAGAAAGTAAGACTGCACTCAGCTTGAAGTTGGCTGCGCTTCCAACGTTTCCAACACTTATATGTGGAAATATTTGAATACTCCTAAACTTATCGATAAAAAGCAAGGCTGTGCTTAAAGTTGGCTGTTGGTTAGCCAGTTTATCGATAAGCATGAGCACACGAATAAAATAGAATAAGATGAGAAAAATTATTAAATACTGCTAAACTTATCGATAAAAACCAATGCGGCGTTTGCTCGGCCAACACATCGATTAATATGAGCAGCTGGAGCAAAGGCTTAAAAGGGTAACAAGAAACTTAATTAGAAAAATATAATATCATATTTTCACAGACATGTTCTCAATTTGCAGCGGCAAATGGCAGCCAATGTTGAGCCCCAGCAATTACTACTGTAGCTTTTTTTTGGGGATACACGACAGCAGCGCCCTAAACTATGCTATGAATTTCATTTGGCAAGCCAAGGACATGCACAACGTGCGCCTAAACAGCCGCTTGAGGCGGGGGCTGCTGGCTGCAACTGAGGTGTTTGGCGCGGGGGCGGGGGCGGCGCGGGGGCGGTCGCAACGGCTTGGCAGTTGGCGTCGCCAGCCGCCACTAATATTAAAATTGAAAATTTTGTAATTTTTCTTTTTTGGCAAGCCGGCGCAGCGCAGTCATAACGGCTGCCAGGCAAACGGCACCCCAAACCCTACCCCCCTCCCCCCACCCTCTCGGCGGTGCTGTCTCTATTGCTGTAATATAAGCATATATGTAGGTAGATATTCCATATCTGTGGCCGTTACTTGGCAATAACATGCATGAGTGTGCAATTTCTGCAGTTGGCACAAGCATCGTCAGGCACTCAGGAGAGGTTCGAGTCGTGGCTCGTCCTGCGGGAAATTTTCGACAGGTAAAAATGGTAGCAAAGCAGCCGCAGAATTAACTAGCAAAAGCGACTCCTGCCGCCGGGCATTTTTCATGCTGCCTCCGACTCTGACTCTGGCTCTTGCCGCATTTGCAGCAAGCAGATACATTTTTGATTGAGTTACGTGTGGGTGCCGTCTGGGTGCTGGGTGGCATCCAAAAAGAAATTGCTGGCTTCATTTGCTCGCCACTCGGTCGGCGCTCGACTGATTTATGAGTGGCCAGAGGCAACAAGAGCACCAGCAGAGGCAGCAGCAGCGGCAGAGCCAGCAGCTATAGAAGTGGCAACTATGTACGTGCAACTTGCAACGTGCGCTAATTTTATATAATTAAAACAAACACAAACATACCAAGAAGGCAGCTGAGTAGCTGCAGCAGAGAGAGCGAGAGAGGGGGGGGGGGGGGGCGGGCAAGCAGAGACTCTCAACGCCCACAAGTTGTTTCAAAGAGCAAGAAGCAGAGTGAGAGAGTGAGAGAGAGCGAGAGAGAGCGAGAGAGGAGAGAGAGACGGGGTGCAAAGGAGTCAGCACATGTCGCTAATAAGCCTGCGTGTTTACTGTTACTTGTTTCAACTAATTTGTCAGCTACGCCCAACGCCCGCATGCCAAGGCAAACACACGTACACACACACACACACACACAAACACACACATAGAGGGACAGAGGGAGGCGTGGCATCAGGTGTCTGCACTTGGCCTTGCTAATTGCACAGCCCTTTTGGCCAGGCCAAATCTGAGACAATTGCGCTAATTGAAAAACCTCGATAAGACCAAAGCGCCAGGCTCTGCCAGGAAAAGCTGGCAAATTGAGAGCAGATGCACACACACACACACACACACACACACACACACACACACACACACACACACACACACACACACACACACACACACACACACACACACACACACACACACACACACACACACACACACACACACACACACACACACACACACACACACACACACACACACACACACACACCTACACACACACAGCTCACAGCAAATGCGAAATGGAGCTTCACTAAGGACATTTTTGGGTCTTTGTTATCCTTGCGTTTTCCTTTTCATGTAAACAAGCATTAAAAACCTGAACCAAGATCCAAAGCATTACAAGAGGCCAAATTGAATGGAAGATAAAATACCCCCGTGACCAAATGGCTTGCGGGCACTTTTATAAATTATTTATATCGAAGAACAGGATATTTTTATATAGATAAAACATTTTAATATGTATATGCTTAAGTTATAAATGACCTGCTCTCAGAGATATATAATTCACAATTCTGAAATATTTATCCGTACAAAAATATTATTTTCTTCGAGATATCTTAACAAAACTTCATAGTTCTCCTCGCATATCCTCCGATTATTCCTCTAGAGCTCTATGATAGTCTGATGTTGATAAGCTTGTGCTTATATGTAGGGAGTATAGTGAAACGAGTGACAGCTAGATTTGATTCAGATATCTAAGCAAAAACCAAACAAGTTTTCTTAGAAGAACTAAATTTCTGCCCGATTGTTACTATGTCAACAATATCCAATTGTGATCCGATATGGCCTATTGCGTCATATCTACTGTCTGCAATAGCAAGACGAACCTATGAAAAGTTTCATGACGAAAGCTTTAAAAGTGAGACTGGTTTGCATAGATAGAGTCCGATGGACAGATGTACATATCTATATCATATCGACTGTTGAAGCTGATAAAGAATATATATACTTTATGTAGTTGGATATAAGCACATATGTTTATTTCGTAACAAAATCCTAATAACCTTCTTAAAGGGCCATAAAAAAGAGCATATTAGTGTTGCACAACGCTCGATAGGCTAATTGTTATCGACATTATCGATAAAGCACTCGATATTTCTGTGGCACACTTCTATTGCTATTCTCAACTTAATATTCTCCGCAAAATTGTTGACTAACTAGTTCAAGGATTAAATTTACAATTTTGAAAGTGTTTACCATTAAATTTTGCACACTCGCTGCAATTTATAAGTACGATTATAATAGATTGTATATTTTGGAGAAATTAACAAAATTTCGGCATAGGAATTGAACGCGCTGACTCAGCATTTTCTAGGAGTTAGCGCTGGGTGAGTGGAAAGCGGGGATGGGGGGCGAAAACTTCATGACAAACTTATTATGCACTCGGCTGGGTTATTTCCAGAGCTGGGCAAAGTTTGCTATGTAAACTCTGGGAGCAGGGCAGTGTTTGAATTACTCGGCCCAGCCGGCACTTGAGTCCCTGCCGCATATTGAGGTCAGCTGTGGGCTGAGTGGGGGGAGTGGGGGGAGTAGGGGCTGGGCAAGTGGAGTGCATGGATGAAGGGTGGGCCATGGTGGGCCGTGGGCTGTCTGGTTGCGTCTCGGTCTCGACACTTGAGTAAATTATTTAGCCGCTCGCACAAAAGCATATTTCGTTCAATTTTTGCAGCTAGCTCTTAAACTTGTTTGCCCACTCGCCGGGTCTCCGAGTCTCCGAGTCTCCGACTCTCTGGCTCGCTGACTCGCTGACTCTTTTGCCTTTTTAACTTCTCTGATTTGGTTCTTTCTTTCTTTATTTCAGGTTTTGGCTTCGTTACATTTCAAAGCGAAGATGTGGTAGACAAAGTTTGTGAAATTCATTTCCATGAGATAAACAACAAAATGGTAAGTCAAGCGAAACCAAATGAAACGCTGAAACGCAGCCCCACAGCCCCACTCACCGTCTACTTGTTCCGCAGGTCGAGTGCAAGAAGGCGCAGCCCAAGGAGGTAATGCTGCCGGCCAATCTGGCCAAGACCCGCGCGGCCGGTCGCTCCGCTTACGGTGAGTTGGTAGTCTGGGGCAGCCACGCAAATCAGGCGGCCGCGGCCGCGGCGGCGGCAACAGCTGCCACGCCCGCCGCCGCTGGCCTCTTGCCAAGTAGTTTAGCCGCTGCCGCCACAGCGCTGCATCAGCAACAGCAACAACAACAACAACAGCAACACCAACACCAACACCACCAACAACAACACCCACAACACACACATCATCACCATCATCATCAGCTGCTGGGCGCTGCCGCAGCGGCCGCCTCGCTGCGCTACACGCCCTATCCGCTGCCCAGCCACATCTCGGCCGCTGCAGTGGCCGCAGCCGCCGCTGCTGCCAATCAGCAGCAGCAGCAGCAGCAAGCAGTTGCTGTTGCCGCCCACCAACAGCATCAGCATCAGCAACAGCAGCAGCATCAACAACAGCAGCAATCGCTGGCCCATGCTGTGGCCGCTGCAGCTGGCGCGCCCTCGCTTCTGCCCCTCGGCAATTCGGCGCCCGGCGGCGCCCCATCGCTGCTGCAGTATGCGGCTGCCGCCAATGCCACTCAGAACAATGTCGCGCTGGCCAATTCGCTTTATGCGGACGCTGCCGCTGTTATGGGCTATAAGCGGCTGCTGGCCGCTGCCGCTGTGAGCAGCGGCCTTCGAGCCACGCCCACGGCTGCCACTTTGGGCGCCTTGACGGCCGCTGCGTCGGCGCCAGCAGCAGCAGCTGCCGCTGCGGCTGCCCAACAGGCGCAGCTGCGTCAAAACGCCGCGCTTGCCGCCGCCCATTATCCGCTCAGCGAGCTGCTGGCGATGCCGGCGGGCCTGGAGATGCCCGGCGCAGCCTCGGCAGCGGCAGCGGCCGCCTCTCTGTATCAGCTGCCAGGCATCTGACCGCCCAGGCCGCAGTGAGCGTTCCTTTCGTGAACTCTAACCTATTCAGGCTAAATGCCAAAGTTCAGATCCAATTCGGGTCAGCTGCGAACTGCACAACATGAATAACAAATATATTCACACACACGCACACACACACACACACACAAAACTCTCTCTCATTCCGTCTCAAAGTCCAAAGCGCGAACGTGTCGCATTTACTCATAGGTCTTAGGTTTACGTGTACGATTCTCCCTAGCCATGTACTCCATATGCATAAATGTACATACATATCTTAACTTAACTTACATGCATACTCTACTTGTAATCTGTGTCTAACCGAATCGGCGTTTAGGCAACGCGGCGTATGCGTGGCCGCTTATAAATTAATTTATAATTAACTTGATAATTAACTAGTGGACGCATTCGTTTTTTCTATAGAACTTAAGAGATTTGTTTAAGATCTAGGCTAAACATACTTAAAGAGCAGGTCCTAGAGACCTGCTTAGATTTTGCTCAACATCGTTTTGCATCGATTGTTCGATAACATTTGCGCAATCGATATTTAGAGACTTAGAGGCGATCGTAAAAGTAACTGTAAACAAAAGCTGCGTGTAAGTCTTAGACATTGTGCAACACTAGAACTTAAGAACCGAGAATATGTAAAAAACTAAACACGAAAATATCTATTATCGAAAACTATTGAAAAAGTATTGAAATTGTCAAAAGAAAAAAACAGAAAACTTTTAGGTAAATCATTTATATATGTAATTCTTGTATTATAATATGCATATTCAACATTTACCTTGTGTTACCCAATTACAATATATCTATATTTATATCTAAACTTCAGCTCATAACAATAGCTCTTCAAAATGAATATCTGTAGTCCCGAATACAATTAACAACAATAACAATATGTCATAACTAGCAAATGTATCGAATTAGCTTTTAAGTAAAGCCGCATTTAAGTAGGCAACAAACTGAGCTGACAGGCACACACACACACACACACACCCAGACTCTTTGTGTGTGTGTGTGTGTGCGTGTGTGTCTCTCAAACAATTTTAGTTAAATATTTGAAAGTGCAATTCACAATTTGTAGAGCTGAATGGCATTAGAATGGCAGCTGTCTGTCTGCTCGTTGGTTTCCTGTGGACGCAACCCAACACTGGTTAATTGATAATGTCAATTAGAGCGCAGAAGAAGCCTTTACAACCTTACAGCGTGGACAGTTGATGGCCATACTTAAAATAATGGGCCACTACGGCCTCTTAATTACTAATACATGTTTCCATCTAGCCATTAATATTTGACTAAACATGAACCTAGCTATTGATATACATATATATATGTATTCTACATACATACTAATACACATATTCTTACTTACGATAAGCGCATTAAGTGCTTCGAATTTCTAGTTTATACTTGACTGTTTATCCATTGTAATAGTGTACTCTCATATAAGCCTAAAGACAACAGCAACAACAAAACACACAGGAAATCAGCCGTCGACCAAAATTGATGCCAAAGATGAACGAATGATTGATTGATTGATTGATTGATGGCAGCCAAAACGAGACCATGAGCAAGCGCATGGATTTAACAAAATTTACAATAAATTTGAACAACTATTTACATTAACATTTAACTAGCTGTCAAATTGTTGCCATTTACATATTTTTTTCTTCTTGGTTTTTTTTTCTGAATACCTTTTTATTATTTATTTGGTTGTAGTGTTTTTATCTATAATTAGTTTAGTTTTTAACTGTCAATTTGTGAGTGTGTGTAAACACTTTTCGTCATTTGTTTTCAACTTTTTAATTAGTTGTGGACGGGGATGCAATGGCCCGACAGTCTGTGACATTTTTGTAGAAATGCGCAGCGAGGCTTTAGAATTGCCCCGTGTCCAGGAAGAACACTAGTTAAAAAAAGCAATTCAATTATATAATAGTATTTACATATAGCATAGTTCTTAAATGTGTTTTAGTCAACAATATAGTCGAACAATGTCTACGTATTTATCAACTATATTTAACTAAACAGACATACGTACAACTCTATATACCATACTTAATAAGTGTTTAGATTTGTGTCATATCTTAACTTACATATATCGATGGTACAACTGAAATAACTGTAACTCTATATATACCATATAGATAGCTCAGAAAGTCGAGGCTGTTTAAGAAACTAAAAACAAAAAGTCAACTGCCCAGCGCAGCCTTAAAAAACATATCTTAGACACAACACACACACACTCTCTCTCTAAAAATTAGTATATAGCATAATAATCGATAACTGTTAATCGATTGTTTCTTAGTTACATAGCCTAACACACATTTAGAGCGCTAAGTACACACATACACACACACACATACACTAAATGAAATACATACATACATATATAGTAAATCAGTCTTTAATACTATATTCTTAGACTTTTATCAAATACCATATATACATATATATATATAAATTTTATTTATTTGATCTTGTTTGGAGTACTTAGCTCTTAAAGATGCGCACTTATGAATGTTAGTAATTTATTTATGTTTATGCTCTTCTTTTTTGTGCTCTCTCTCTCTCTCTCTCTCTTGTTTGCCATGCGCCATTTTTAGATAACATCATGTGGGGTCTGGGGACATTGCCCGAAGGTAAGAACTAGCTAATGCCTAGCACTCGTATTAGTTTAGCTATATGCTATCTTAGGCTATGTCTACGATGCGGTTGTCTAACATGATTTCTCTTTCTCGCAGGCTTTCCGGCAGCTGCGTATGCTGCCTATGCCGCTGGTCGCGGCTACTCCGGCTATCCGAGCTTCGGACTACCCTATCCAACTGGTAAGTTTGTTTAACTACTCTTCTACTCTCTCACACACACACACCCAGTCACTCACACACACACACACAGATACACTATTACTATTAACTACTTATATATGCATATATAATTAATATATAGAGAATCCTCTGCATATGTCGTACGCCCTTAACTGCTCGTATGTGTGTGCGTGAGAGTGTGTATCTGTGTATCTGTGTGTGTGTGTGTGCGTGTGTGAATGCATTTGAAGTGCATTCGAGCAAGTTTTGTGACTACTCTTGAAATTAACTGAAGCCCCTAAAACCCAAGCCAAACCCAACCCCCGCACTGCAGTTTGTGTTAGTTGATATGACGAACTAGTTCAATTGTAAACAACATATATACATATATGTATCGATCTACCTATGTATGTATGTATGTACATATGTATGTTTTTGTAATAAGTATTAGCATAACATACTAACTTCATGCTCGATAATTTGTTCAATTACTCGTATTGTGTTTTTTTTTTTATTTTCCTCTGATTTGTTTCGTTTGAATCAAGAAAAACCCAAAAAAATCGACATTTTCTTCTTTCTTTTTTCTTCTTTTTCTTATTTATTTGCCCCACAGCTGGTGTTATGGGCGTAATGCCGGAGAATCGCATACTGATCGGTGATTATATGGTTGCCCCAACGACCAGCAGCACGGCCTAGGAACGCCCCCAACGATCCATAGCTGATCTGATATTAATCGAGTATTATATGTTCGCGGCAGCGCCAAAAATGTTGTTCAAAACATGAATAAAACAAACACTAAACCAAAGAACTCTCCAGCGTTCGTCATATCAATGCACAAAATAAACTCTCAAAAAAAACCAAAAGAAAAGAAAAGAAAAAGTTGTAAAAGCAGCTCTTAAGACATTCATTATTTAGACATTGCTCACATTACTTTCATTTAAAGCTGCTTGGTCTTGTGTTTATATCATTTGCACCAAAACAACAATTGAACACTGCAAAAAAAAACCCACCACATTCGCGCTACTAGGCCTAACACCCAACACTCGCCGCCCCCGCTCAAGCACAGCGTGTGTGTTGTTTATTTTGTTTTTTTCAATCTCTTCTTTTTTTTTGGCTAGGGTTGGAACGAATGTTGAAATGCATTTGCAAGCATTTAAGTACTCAAATCCAACACTAGTTACAGTCGCAAGCGAAGGATCAGAGTTAGATATAATATAAGTAATATCTACAAAAGCAAATCGAAAGAGAATTAGTTTACCGAGCTTCACGAATGCGAATATGACGTATTCGTCCCAACCCTAGCTAGTCACCCACTCTCTCTCTCTCTCTCTCTCTCTCTCTTTCTCTGTGTCTTTCCCCGCCTGACTCTCTGTCTCTTTCTACATGCAATCTATCTTGTGTATCGTGTGATTTTGTAGGCCTAACTATTTGTGGCATCGGTAGAAGTTATGGTACCACATGTAGCACGAATGCGGGCCGCAGCAGAGCTGCCACTGGCCCCGCTGGCGGTGGTGCGGCTGCTGCTGCTGCAGCTGCAGCTGCTATCCACAATCAGCCCCAGTCGGGATATCAACACCACCAGGCGCTGACTCTGCCGCTGGCCACGGCGCTGACAGCGCGCACGGCGGCAATCAAATCGCAGTTTCTGGGCAACATAAATTTCTAAACAAAAGATCAAACAAAATCAAAATACAACACAGATAAACCATATAAGCCGAAAGCAAGTCTGAGAGAGCGGGAAGAATACAAGCTACACAGAAAAAAGAACACCAAGCCAACAAGAAAAACTAAAACAAAAACAATCAAAAAGGAAAAAACAAGCAAGCATAAATATACGAGAGAGGCCTGCGATATTGTATTTAATATTTCATTGCCATTTTGTCTCTTTTTTGTTTCTGTGGTCTCAACGACAATACGCAAACCAAAATAAATCATTTGTACTGTGACAAGTAGGTACAACAACAACAACAGCAACAACAACCACAAATAAAATTTATTAGCTTAGATTGTTTCTACGGTGAATGGTAACAACAACAACAACAAATAAAACAAATAAAGCAAATACTCGATTTATCAAAAAATAAATAAAAACAAATAACAGAAACTTATACAAGTATTTGTAATTGCAGACCCATATATAATCACATATAGAGCTGCTGGCGCATACATGTGTGTACACACTGTACTATGTGGCCTCCGTATAGCTGACAAATGGAAACTTTCTAAACACACACACACACACACACACACACACACGTACTTAGCTACATATAAACATTTGTTCTAGACGCGTTGTTCGATTAGCTAAAACCCTAGTTGCGCATATATACCCCCTATATATATATATTTAAATATATATCTATCTATAGAGCCGAGCACATATAAGGCGGCAACTGTACCGTACGCAGTTCTGTAGCTTTCGATTAACTATTTAATACACACACACACACACACACACACACACACATATATAGCCACATGTAGTAGTGTTTAGGTCAACATAATCGCATAATCACACACATTTAACTCTTTAGACGTACGTGTAGCGCCCCGTAGAGAGCTATGACACAATGTGTACACAAAATGCACACGCACACAAACAGTAAACACTCCATATAAATGATACCAATATTTGTGCTTTTTTTTTAATATTATTTTGTAATTTCTTGCGTTGCGTTGCGTTGCGTTGCGTTCGCCACATTAATTCTCATTAAGCCCAATCTACCATTTTGGCTTTGGTCCCAGGGACACAAATCTATTATTTATAAAAACTGTTTTACTGTAAGCATTTAAATGCAAATTTTTATTTGTAGTACATCTGCATAAATTAGTCGTGTGCAACAACAACAACGACAACAACAACAACAGAAATAAACATAAACCGCGCGAAATGCATACGAAAAGCATTTTAGATAAAAACTACATTTTAGCCAGCCTGTCACATGTAGTATCATTATTATCCTTTAATTAATTTCCTGCATAATATAATTTCTGTATTTCAGTTTTTTTTTCGTTTTCTCGTTTTTTGTTTGGGTCCCCTGAGTTTTAGATAATAAGCACACGTGCAGAGATTTTTTGGCATAGAAAAAGTTCATTAATTAGCTACATTTTTTGTTCTGTTTCATAATAATGTGTGTAGCCACAAAAATAAAATCAAAATAAATACATTTTGGCGTTGGTTTTTTGTTTTGGATATCCTTTAATTCTACTCATATATATCGCATAGCCTGCATAAGTTCTTTCATCGGTGCATCAAACTGAATCTGAAATAAGCCAACAAAAATTTCTACCGAAATGAGCGAAAACTTTTTATTGAAATTTCTATATGAATAATACATTAACTATATACAATACATATAAAAATATATTTATAATATATATAAAAAAATATACAAAATAAGTTTAATATATTTATTTTATACAAAAAGCAAAATCAAATTTCATTTGTACAATAATGCAAAAGGAATAATAATAAATTAAAAAAAGTAAAAAATATATACGAACAGAAAATACAATATTAATGTCCATCCATTTTCGAAGAGCGACTTTAAGTTTATGAAAAATGCAATTTTTCTATGTCCTTTCCATTTATGCATAAATTGTAAGTTTGACATTTAAACTTAGCTATCAATACTATATATACTATACTATATATACATATAATATTTATGGCAGCGTATACATATATTAAATCAAATTAAATCAAAAAAAGAACACACACCCACACAGACACTCACACACACACACACACACAGACATACAAATCAATAACTATAAATTGAAAAGCTGTTAATTAGTTAATTGAATGCAGTTATCGCAAAATTTTTGGCAATTTAAATTAATGTATAACAAAGGACAAAGGCTAAAAGCCGAGGCAAATGCTTCGAGGTATCTAAACTATAAAATGCTTGCGAGTTATTTACACACACACAACTATATAGCATATACACACACACACACACACACACACATACGCATATCTATGTATTTTACACGTATATACTGTGATTTATAAGAAAACGCTTCAAACCAACAACAAGAACAAAACAAAACAAAACAAAAAATTGCCAACGCAGAATTCAAATTGCTTATGCAAAAAACGAAAAGTTATTAACTAAATAAATGCACAAAAAAAAAAACGGATACAAAAGCCGAAACAAAAACCAAGTCTATCCTTTCTGGCCGCAAGGCTTCAGCTCTTTGTATTATTAGCGTTTGAAAGCGCTTTCAAATAGCAGCCAAAAACGTGGAAATGGAAGCTAACTCGAACAAAGTGGCCAACGAGGCGTATGCGTAATAAACCTGACAACGGCGACAGCAACGGCCACAACATCAACAACAGCAACAGCAACAACAACAACAAGCATCAAGTGCCAACAAGGTCAGCTAATGGTCGTCTTAATATACAAAATGCATAATCCCACAGCATTCTCTCTATACCTAACATATATTTATATATATATATCTGTTCGAAAAGCCGTTAACACACATTTTATAATTATTAAATGTACTTCGTACCGTTAGTTATTCGTTTTAGCAGAAGTTTAGCAAGCAGCGCAATCAAAACTAAATTTGTAAACTGCCCAACGGCGGCAGTCCGTAGCTCACATATGTATACTCATGCCTATATATATATATATACATATATCTATTTCAATATCTATATGTGTAGTGTTTTCTTAACTATAGCAACTATAACTTTAGTTAACAAACTTATATGCGAGTCCATGAATTGCAACTAAAAACTAAACATAATTATATAGACAAAAATACATACAGACAATCATTTAGTAGTAGCTATTAAAAAGATAAAACATTTATAATCACTTGAAACGAAAATTTGTGAACTGTATTATTAACCAACTAAAAATAAGATAAAAATTGTAGCTTCTATAAAAAAAACTAGCTTAGTCAACACTAATTTTATGTGCCAACAAAAAAACTATAACTTGTGTAGTGTTGAAAAATGGAGCAAAGCTGTAGCTCAGATATTGATAAGTATCTAACTATATACATATTTCTTTTGTTGTTTACTAATTTAAGTAGCTGTTGAAACGTCTTTAATCACTTTGTGTCATAGTTAACCAGGGCTGACAATTTCACATTTAAGATCTTGTGCTCCTCCTTTTAACAAATAAGTGTTGACTACGACAGACAGACTTGCTCCTTTAGTGTTGGTAAATCGAACCACGTTGACAACTTTGGCGCTGGCATCTTGTTAGACAACACTGTTGTTTGCCAAAACAGCAAAACCACAAGCCCGACAACTAAACTAACTAAAATTGCAGCTGCAACACGACAAAAATAAATATAAAAAAAAAAATAAATTTACAAAAAGCGGAAAACCATAACAACAACTGCAGCTAAAACTGTAACTAAAAACTTATTTATTTAGAAAAAGCAGTTACCGCTATTTCTATAGCCAGAAGCTTTCGCAGTTGCCGCTGCCGCTGCCGCTGCTGCTGCTGCTGCTGCTGCTGCGTCGCTAATGAAAACAACATGGCGCGCAGGGCTTTCCAAAGAGCGTAAACTAAAAGTAAGCCAAACTTGATTGGCGCCATACACACACACACACGCATACACAGACGCGCACGCACAACGACAGTGAGGACAATAAGCAAACGTCTGGCACAGCCACGCCTCGTTACGTAACATCACGTTACGTTACATCAATTTTTGTGTTTCCGCCGGAAATGCAACTGCTACATTCACAGTCGCTGCCCGCCGCACCGCACCGCACCGCCCGTTCGCCTAGCCATTACCCCGTAATCCGTTAGCCATAACCCGTTACTTCTTAGCCCAATACCACAGCCCCCTCCCCCTACCGTTTGGCATACCCTTTCACAATCCCATTCCCATTGCCATTCCCATTCTGTTGTCATTTCAATATTGGCGCTGGCGTATTTTTACTTGCTGCAGCAGCTGTGACCGTAACAACAACAACCAAGTACAACAACAATGATAACAGAAAAAGCGCCAAAAATGAAAAAAAATAAATAAAAGGAAAAAGGAAAAGTGCGCCCCAACGAAGCGTTCTAACTGAGTTTCGTTTCTGGTCTGGGTTTTATTTAGCCAAGCGCGCCCCCTCGCCCTTATCCAGCCAGCGTAGAGGACTACGACAACGCTCGTTTAATAACCCAGCGAGCACTTTGTGTTTTTATAACCTGCGTTCTAGTTAGTTCTATTTCTGTCGTGTAGTTTCTTATATACATATCTCTAACATGACATACATACATTATATACCTTAGTTACATTTTGGGCTTGGGTTTTATTACAACAGCGTTAGCTAGTCGTATACTGTTTAATTTGTGCCTTCATTTATGTTTGAGATCCATTTATAGCATTCAGAACATACTTTACTATTTATAATCGTTCATTCATTTTTTTATATACTCTATATATACCTCTTAGAACTCAGTCTTTGTTTACTTTCATATACTCCTATATATCTTAGGTATTTTATTAATATGCCCTAACTCTTAACTAGTTGCATTTTAATTGCTCTGGTCCATATTTAATTTCGAAATTCTGCTTAATCTTTTGCCACTTACAGTTGATCTAACCAATGGGCAGCTGACCCCCAACAACAATACACCGCTCCTAACACAGGCACTGTCAGGTGAGTTACAGCTTGAGATATATTTCAAATAAAACATCAAACAATTAGCTCCGCCGACCTCCTGCGCAAGAATAATGATGTTGATAATAATGTTAAAAATAACGTTACTTACCTGAGATATTAAAAAAAATGTTCAAAAAAGTTTTGATTTTCAAACTGACTCCGCTTTTGGAAAAAAACGTGATGTAACCTCTTGCTGTTTTGTCGACTTTCTTAACCCATCGATTTTTA